TATATATATATATTTAAATATATTTATAATGTCTTAAATGTCTATAAATCAATAGATTTATGTTGTCATTTATATTTTTATATAAAAAATTGTAATTGTTTAATTAAAATTTTTTTAATTTAACTGTCATTTTTAAACTGTTAATTTCTTATTTTTTTTATTTATTTTGACAAGTATAGTATAAATTACATTTCATTATTCATTTTAATATCAGTCATTTATTGGATAACGACCATAATTTTTATTTTCATGACTTAGAACCCTTTATTGAGGACCTTCTGTGGAGGAAATGACTGGGGAAAATACTTCTGAAAAAAGTAGCCGATCACTATTCTCATCCAGAAACATTTGTACTAGCCTTTTAAATTTGTTCGCAGCATTTCAGCAAAATGTGCATTCAAACTAAATGTTTTTCCTCAAAGTTTGGTAAAATGAAAAAAATATATAAATGCCATTTGCGAAACCTTTCGGTTAAGTCTTAATGGAAACGCCAAACACAACGTGTCCTGACCTCTGCATATTCAGACGCCTAACTGCACATCCAGACTCTGTGCTTTTACAACGCCAGCGGGAAGGCTGCAATCTATTTCTGGCTGCGTGGTCACACTATTGTGTGGGTGCAGAAAAGTTCTGCTGCATTAAACTAATTTTCCAGCAACGCAGCCCACGACAACACTTAAAGTGCAAAACAGGTCATCAAGTGGAGTGTGTGGAAGAGGAGGTCTAATCCATACGAGTTAATTCATCAGAGTGCCCGGCTTGTCTAAATTGCCGTTGCCCTGGCGTTCTGATTACATTAGCAGGGGGAAAAAAGGTTGTTGTCACGAATGGAAGATGCAGCGAGCAGCTGTCGCGGTCCGAGAGGGCTGATGTAAGCCCCTATTCTCAGCGAGTCCGGGCCGGTTTCAATTACGCACTAACCCCTGACCCCACGCTGCTTGTAAGCGAGAGATGAGAAGAGGTGCTGGGCTTGACGCCTAAGCTACAAACAGCAAGGACAGAATGGGATTTGGTGGCTCTAAATGAGGAGTTTGTGTCACTATTGCTTCTCAAAGTGAATGGGATTCCATCTGTAGTGTGTGTTTGGGGGATGGGCGGTTGCTTTTCTTTGCTTTTTTGAAGCTGTTTTCTATAGACACGGCAGCACGTTCGACGGTGGCGTGAGGCCACCTCTTCTGTTCTTCCTTCTGCCCCTTTTGACCCTCTGTCTGTGGTCAATGTGGAGATTGCCAGAAAGAGACAGCTGCACTCCAGGCTTCCCGCCTCAGTTCCCTGTTGCTCTTTGAGCCTTTTCTGTTTTCCATTGATTTCTCCATCGCCCTCTCCACTGTGTTTATCAGCCGCTTTACAAAATTTCTGCTCTGTGGGGTGGACGAGGACTAAGTTTCCCAGCCCGAAAATAAGAGAAATTCAAAACCCTTGGCTTTGGCTTTATGGCAACATTGTCCTTCTTCTCCAGGCAAAGAGAAATCCCTGGGGAAATCAGATAACATGCAGCCACAACCAAAATTCAAGGCCGATAATCAAACCATCAATTGCTGGGATCAAGTCAAATGCATTTGGCAGATGTGGATGGGCTTTTAAATGCACATCACACAAAACAGCAGGAGCTGGTCTTCCATTACACTACAAATAATTCATACCCTAAGAGATTACTGTAAAGATTAAAAGATATGAGAGATTCCACACGAAACGCGATCAAATTTGAGCCTGCGGTGCGTTTGCTGAAAGATGCTGATGCTGGCAGTTCCTTCTCTGATTCAGCAAGCACAGATTTTTCTCCCTAATTATGGTCAAATTACAGACTCTGGCTGCGGGATCACCAGCCTCTCCTCCCATTCTCTCCCACAGTCCTTCATTCTTTTGCGAGGACGGGGAAAATGCGACATATCTGTTTTGAAAACTTGATGGAGCACGCTTTGGTGAGCTGAAAGCATTTACTAAAAGGAGCCATTTTAGCGTCTCACATTTTCATGAACTCACACAATTTGGCAGAATCCTCTGCAGCTGCCTTTGCAAAAAAAAAGTAGCCGACTGTAACAGAATCACGATACACTGATGGTATCAAATGGCTGATTAACATTTTCATGTACTATGGCCTTTACTAAGGATAAGTCGGTTGTCCTAGCTTTGGTTTTTTGGGATATTTTAATTTTTAATTAGCAAACTGACAACATACTATGATTTGCACTGTTGTGTTTCTCAATTCAAGCACTACAGCTACAGTTATACCAAACCCATAAGACTTTTGTTCATCTTCGAAACACAGATATTTTTTTATGAAAAAAGATGTTTTATAATATCCTGAGAGGTTTTTGTCCCTTGAAAGTCCATTCTACCAAAAATAAAAAAATAAAAATCATAAATAGACTGTAAAAAGAAATCCATATTAATCAAGCGGTTTAATCCAATGCTGCATCCGAAATCGCATACTTCCCTACTATATAGCAGGCGAAAAACAGTATGTGAGGCGAGTAGTATGTCAGAAGAGGAGCTCAGCCGTACTTGAGAGAACAAACCTCACTGGTTCAAGCGGTAGCTCAAACAAGCTTGCGTGACACACAAGAATAAACCTGATTAGTTCTTGCATGTCAAGAAAGTGCATTTGAGCTTCTGTTTACCATTTGATGCACTCTATCTATGTGCGTTGATCAATGTTTATATGTGAATAACAGCCTAAATTAAATAAGTTCATCATATAAAGTGACCATGTCTCTTCAGAAGACCTGGAAAAAAATGCTGGGTTAATAGGGATTTCTAATGCATCTCGTTATGAACATTTTGAAATGTCTGAAGCATTTTAGGGGAATGGGCTTTCAATGGGGGAACAGATATCTCTCAGACAATTTATTTCAAATCTGAATTAAAAGTAGATTTGGAGTGACATGATAGTTCTGTTTTGGTGAATTAACCTTTTAGCTTTTTAAAAGGAGTTGTGCTTCGTTGTGGAACAATGTGAAATGCACCTGATCAGGATCAGATGAACTCAAAACCAGCCTAATTATACGGGTCTACCTTATGACCTAGGAACTCAGCAACTGGTTGATTTTGAAAAGTTGTTTGGCACATCCCTATAGCATTTACAATGTACTCCAAGAGACTTCAAAAAGAACAGCAAAAGACTATCATGATACCATGCCCAAAAACATTCTGCTCATACCATTCTGTTATCCCAAATCAAAAATTGTGTTATCTGACATATTCAAAACAGACCCTTTACACTGAACAAGATATCTGGATCACATGTAAGTCAATGAACTCGCTAAATGCCACAAAAGGTTAATGACTAGCTGTTACGTTACTCAACGGCACACACTGGACACACTTCATCTGACAAGCAGCCAATAAGCTGACAGCCCAGAAAATGCAACTGTGTCATCTAGGCCCAGCACAAATGTGATTTCTTTTAAAGAGAAAGCACAGACTTCAAATAATGTGTGAATTATTCAATAAAAAGGCCACGCCAAACTGAATCTTTCAACTGGAAAGCTATAATTGGCATGATAAAATAATATAATTGGCATGATAAAAATACTTGTCTAAGTGGTTAGTTATAGTAGTTTCCAAAGCTAGCTTAAGGTCCTTAGTCAGATGTCATAGTTAACTTGACACAAACAAGGCTTGGAGGGACAGAAGTACAACCCGCTCACAGAGATATAGAACTCAAAATGTTTACAAATTTGCACAAGAATTTCAACTAACGAGTGATTTTTACAGAAATTTGTTCTTCTCATATCGTACTCTCACGGGTCACATCTATTTTTTTTTTGTCCATCAGAAATGTGTGGAAGTACCAAAGCCAGTTTCTGTCACTGAATAAAAAGGTAATTGTGACCAGTGGCGGCTCGTCGGGGGAGGCAGGGCGTGAGCCAAAATCATCACAATTAAAAGAACCAAAGACTTAAACTACATCAGTCTGTGTGCATTGAATACAATGTACAGTCTGTGTGCAGGGAAAACACACCTAACTGGATATAGACTACAGCAGTCGGCTTAATTAAATGGCGCAACAGGCAGCTCTCTTTTAACACAGACTTTTAAGAAGGGATGGATGTTTGCTTCAAGTGATAGGCCAGGTAAGTGAAATTATATTATCTTGCTGTATGTATGTCGTTTTCTTTACATTTTCTGACTAAAAGCAACAAAAAAGCCATTTTAAAATAGTTAAGCAAATAATAATAATAATAATCGGCAGGGATCCCAGACCAATACAATTAGTGTGCCTCCTCTATTTTAAAACCCACGAGCCGCCACTGATTGTGACTTTTTATCTCACAATTCTCAAAACTCACTAATTTTATATCTCGCAATTCAGACTTTCTTTCCCAGACTTGTTTATATCTTGAAATTCAGACTTTTCCCCCAGAATTGCAAGTTTGTTACACACAATTATGAACTTATTTCTTGAAATTCCGAGATTACATTTTGCATTTCTGACTTTTTTTCTGAATTCTCTATTCATATTGAAGAGACGTCTAATTCTGTGGACAAAAGAATTAGTCTGTATCACAAAAAACATCCGTTCAAGAAATGTTTCTAATGTACATTACATTCATATTCATATGAATGCACAAATCACATTTTACATTCACAAAATGAATATTTTGTTCACGCAAAAACAGCTATTTTATAAAGGCGCTTCCAAAGAAAAGATATTTCAGTATTTCATCAGCAGCCAATGGCTTGATTTCACTGCCATGAAATTCAATATGGCAACTACTCTGACTAAGGTCCGTACTGTCTAGAGCCGTGATAACATATGCTAATCAACACAAGAGAGTGATCACATGACAAGAAAACAACAGCATTCCTAAACACTGACGGTGACACTAACCCTTTTTCTGAGGGGTCCTTTATCTTCCTCCTTCCCTCCCCTGGCACTCCTGGCATGCTTGCCGGTCTTCTGCTCTCCTGGCTGCTTGATGGTGATGCGGATCTCAGGAGGACAGATGTAGTTCTCCAGGTTCTTAGGAGGCTTCTTGGCCCTCTTGGTCGTTTGTATCTTCAACTTCAAGCTGCCTTCAGAGAAACTGGCCTCCTTGATGGAGAATTCCTGCTCCTCCAGCCCATCTCCCTGCCCCCATCTCTCACTGTCCGCATTAGAAGTGACATCGATGTCCTTCCCCAGACCGAGGTCTTCGTCCTCTTCATGGTCCTGTTGCTCTCCAGGTAAAGGGAGGCTCTTTATTGGACAGGCAAGGAGACCCACCTCACTGAGATCTGCTCTGTTGATGGTGGTAACAGTGGAGAAGAACTCCTCGTTTCCTTTGGGCTGGGCCGTCTGAGTAAGGTCTCTTTGCTCCATTGACAATCTTGAAGCTTAGTCCAAGAATCAGGAAGACCCAAAAAGGGCAGAGGGACCCACGGTCCAGGTGATTGAGTTTAATCAGAGAGGGATGTGATGGCTTTTGGCTCTACTGCTCCCGAAATCTTATAAATCTCACTAAGATGGAGTTTTTCCCAGGTGAAACTGAAAATAGAGTCAAAAAGAACAAATTATTAGTTGATTAAATCTATAAACACATGCAGACATGTTCAGACATGCCAAAAAGTAAAAAAAAAAGTCATTTAACCACATCACATTCTCTTACATGTTCTAAGCAGACATGATACGATAAAGCGTCAAGGCTAAACCCCATTTCATTCAAGATTAATCCGAGTATTTGTCGTCCCAACCAGCCGCAACAAGCAATGAGTTACAAGACGTTTTGTTAACACTTGGTTTCTATTTCTGTTACGTTTCGGTGTTGGGTAGCCCCGCCCCCAGACAGATCTCATTGGTTACAGGGATGTAAACACAGCTGTGTATTACACAAAACTAAATGTCTTTTTACTGATTTTTAATTAGAGATTTACCGGTACCATGTCAGATATTGGCTGATATTAGATATTTTGTTTTATTTATCGTCTTTTAATTATAGCCTTTTTTACATTTAGATTATTTTTTATTATCATTCAACACTCAATTAGAGTTTTCAAAAAAAAAAAACAGACTTTAATAAAACTTTTTTTAATATAAATCTTTAACAAATTTCAACATCAGACATTACAATACTGCAATGCCTAAATTCAAATTCAAACCACTGATTTTAGTTTTTACATTTTAGACACAATAGTATAGAATTTTAATATCAGAATTTATCAGTTAATGGCCATTACATGAAAATAATTTACGGCATACTGACTGAATTTAAATATAATTTTTAAAAACTTCAGTACATCAGACCCGGTGTATAGTGATTAAATTAGGGATGTTCATTTCGGTTATTTTTCCTAACCGACAACCGACGCTCGTTAACCGATTGTTAACCGTTAACCGACAAGATTATTTTAAATTAGAATTGAATTAAATTAGAAAGGATAAGTGTCTGTGACCCGTTAAAAATACTAACATTTGTTTCCCGGGGATTAATTTTACATGCGCAAAAAGCAGCAAACAACAGAACATGAGGGCTCGGATTCAGTGCGAACTAACATGGCGGCGCCCATCACCCGGTATAGATAAACTAACACGGTCGATATAAAACTGTGTTTAAACTACCAAATAGATTTAATTGCACATATTTCAGAATCGGAATATCAGATATTTCATAATATAGTGAGCATGTTTGTGAATATTTTGAATAAAACAGGAAAAACGAAATAAAAGCGATCCATGTGTCATACAGATCTATTGTGGCTGCGTTGTGTCACATGACAAGCATGACGCGTCGCCATGGAAACAATAAGGCGATACATTTTAAAATAAAGGTCGCCTAAAAAAAAACTCACGCTGGGGGCTCAGCTAGAATATTTTAAACTCACGTGCGAAAGGGTTAAGAAAATGAAAGAAAAACTGTGCAACAAGTAGCCTAGTACACAGAGTTTCGGTTCATTTTTGTGCTGCGCAAAAGGAAAGAGACGGCAGAAAGCGGCATCCTATTTTTCTTTAGGCTTATTTTACAAAAGCACAAAGATTTGTTTTTATTGTGAATGTACACAAATAAAGGCAAACCTTTTACAAGTCAGATTATCTTTAGGACTAAAAGGAGTAGTTTCTTCCA